GCTCAGATCTGCAGTTTGATGAAGCTCCTGGTCACGCTGCAGAAACAACGTTCTGCAACACAAGCAGGCGGATGTTTGACCTGAGGAGGTGTTTAAGGTAGCTGGAGTTCTACAGTTCCAAGAGACGCCATAGTCTGTTGTCTCTCACCAGCCACTCACTCCCTGGAGGTCAAAAAGGTTTCTCCTCCAGTCTAATCCAGTCTGTCAACCCAAAAATATGCATCCACACTAAGAAAAATGCTGACAACGAGGCCTCAGATGTTAACGCGAAAAGAGTCCCAGCTGTCCCCTTTGCCACTGCCGCTCCCATTCTTGGCTGCCCCCATTGTTGCCATCCCATCTCCAATGTCTCCATCCGGCTGTTCCCCGGTGGGAGTGGAACCAGGCTCCGGGTAATACTCGTCATCCTCGTCAAAGTAGCCATTCTCCATCATGCTGAGGCTGGAGGCTGCGCTAAGGTCCTGGCAGCTCCCCTTGTACTCCTGGATGGACTCGTGGAGCGACCACAGCTGGCACAGCAGGGACATATCCTGCTGACGCAAACCCACCTGCAGGGGGCAGTATAGGGATTAGCATTAAAAAAAAACCTGGGGAAGTACAGCTGCAGCTAACTCATTAGTTTATCATATTACTTTTCAGCATCTTGTTGCCTTTTTAATTGTTCACAGTTTAATAATTAAGAAACCCAGAGATAACTTTCTACAAATTTTTAAACGTGTCATTTTGTCTAATAACCTGAGATTATAATCGCTTGACATGAACACAAACAGCTACAGGAACCATGAACAAGCGGCTCTGCTTTCATTTTCTAAATTACTTCGCGGACATATGCATAGCAGGTGCCCTTATAGTGTAGTGCCACAACAAACTGGGGGTAAGGACACAAACATAGAGCCTAACAAGTTTTCCTTTAAATGATGAAATTTACACCAGTTGCACCACTTAAACCCTCCAACCATCCTTCAGTGGCCAATATCGCCTACAAATAAAAGCTCAGTCTTATACTTCTGAGCCTTCAGTAACCAGGATCTTTCTACAGGAAGTAAATCTTCCAGGGTTCCCACAGGCCCATTTTATTATTAAATGGGCCTGTGAGGCTTTTACCGGCATAATAGCCAATTTATTTTTTAAATATAGATGAATGAATTCATTGTTTTAGCTCCAAAAACATCTGTCTGGCAAATCACCTTAATAACTTGGCATTAGTGAAAATCTGATTTATTTCTCAACCGTTTAGCACATAAACAGAAAGATAAGCAACAAAAGAGTGACTGTAAAGGAATTATTCAAGTAAAATACCTAAACAGTCACTGAATTTAACCTCTAACAAAGAAACAAAAAGAGAAGAAAGTAATAAAAATAATCCTCGCCCGTGGCCTCAGCTGACTCTGTGACATCGGTGTGTCAAGGCCACGATGACGGTGTGTAAAGGGCATTTTTGCTGCTGACCTCACAGCTGAGCTGACAGTGCAGTTTGAACTTAGAGTCACGGCACACTCAGTGGTCAAGCATATCACAGGCAGCTAAAACCAAACACTGTGCTCTTTAAAACTGCACAGGGACAAGCTTAGAGTCTTTAAAAATATAGGACACTGACAACTTATTAACTACAACAACCCCACAGTAATACATTAACAGCAGCAAAGCAATAAGGCTAATGTTAGGAACCTGCTCTGCCAAGGCTAAAGGACAAAGAGTCAGTGGGATTTAGGAAAGAAAGACTTAAGAAAAAAAAAAAAATCCAAATGCCTAGAGTTTCAGCAGCAGTTTAACCTCTTTCAGCTACGTGACTTCATATAAGAAAACAAGCTATTGTTAAGCATTAACCAAGATTGCTGGGAATCTACCTCAATAATGAAATCTGGTCTGGTCATGGTATGAAAATCCTTGCTGCTGGCAAGGGAGTGTAAAACAGTGTGTAGTAAGAGTTTCACTCTGATTACATCTCTGCAAATGTGATAGCAGGTATTAGTTCACTGAAGGATTTTGTGTTGGTTTCTGTATGTCACAATAGAAACTTTTATACCGAAGCTAAAAGGTATTAAAATGAGCTTAGAATCCAAATCAGCACAAGCCTAATGGCTTAATTTGTCTCATCCAATGCAAAGCTGTTCCTGATCCCCTTTTTTCCCTTCTTCTTATATAGGCTGTTATTAACACCAGAGTCCATTTAAAAAAAAAAATCTCGTTTTTATCCTCAAGTGCTTCTAGGTGGTTGGGTGGCATGTTAAGTTAATTAACTAGCGAGTCTTTAATAAACAGAGCAAGGAGAAAACACACTTAACAGAAGTGATAACAATGGACAGTGATCATAATTTGTATGTTCACTGAACAAAAATCCCAAACAGACAGGACATACTATAGCAAAAATCGAAATCAATATTTTTAACTTCATAATTTATTTATATAATGCAGAACGGGTTAATTTTGTATGCCGAATCAATCGAAGGACTATTGTTTTCAAAAAGTCTTAATTTCTCAG